ATTTCACCATGGATATTAATAGGTGCATTATGCATGTTTGGCCCTAATGTATCAATGGACATTTGCATGCATATCACCCAATTCATAATGTATTTACATATCCAACATCTAAACTTTGCATTAACAAAAAGATAAAATAAAATACTACTATTTTAGCTGTTGAAGTGTTGTACATTTTTTCATGCATATGTAAGATGATATATATGTAAAAATTAAAGTTTAGGTGTTAGATGTGTTATTACTTAGGAATTGAGTTGTATGTATGTGAATCTTCGTATCAATTATAAGATGAGCTAAATTTTAGAGTTGATTTTATTAATTTAAAACTCTATTTTTTTAAAAAAATCATATTTGATGTGTGCTGGAAAATCTGCGGCGGTAGAGTAACTAATTATTGTTATAGCGTTGTACGAGAATTCAATATACACACGGATGAAAGAGAAACTAGTAGTGATGACTCCATAAATTTTTACGTGGAAAACCAGGAAAAGAAAAAAATCACGGAGTCTGACCTAATTGTGAAAATACACTAATGATTGATATTTACAGAGACTCTTTGTCCCACAGACGGGAAAAAAGTTACTAGCTTTCCAAGTTATAACGTCGACTGATAGCGTTTAGTCTGCGGCGGTTGATGGAGGTCGGCGGTGATCGACGATAGTCAACGTCAATCGATGATGTTCGATGAAAATCAGCGGTGGACGACGACAGTCAATGACGGTTGACGGAGGTTAGCGGTGGTCGACGGTGATTGGTTGTTGGTGCCCGACGATGGTCGCTGACGGTCGGTGGTAGTCGACAGAGGTCAGCGATGATTGACAGTAGCCGACGGTTATCGACAGGGGTCGACAGAGGTCGGTGATGGTAGACATTATGTTGAACTTGAGCTCTTTCTGAAAGCCTCTAAGTTCTCTCTCAAGTCTCCTCCTCCATGTGAGGGGTGATGTTATATTTATAGTTTTTTTGGTGCAATTAATGCAAGAGTATGAACCATTTTGATCAGATGGTTTGGAGAGCTTCTCTCGATCATATGATGTTTGATGGACATTTGAGTGCCTTAATGATGTCAGAATTGAGTAATATTGTGCTCATTGGATTCTTCTTGTCGAGACGCTCAATCTGACTATGAACTCGCTAGATTCGACATCCGTTTGACCTTTCAAATGCTTTCAGAAATCCTTCAAGTGTGGTTTAATAATTTGATCCGGGCTTGATCTGATTCAGATTGGACTAGCTTTTATATCGTTGGGGCCTTCTCAACGAGCCCGTCCGGTTGCCAAATAAGTTTACTGAAATCAGAGCTCTGGATGACTTTTTATCAATATTTGAATATTTCTTGCTCAAAATATTACCTCGAGATTCGTGTCGGATGTTGAAAAATTTGTTTGTGGCGTATTAATATTAAATTGTAATTTTTCTTTAGAGTTATATTGTTATAATTTTCTATATTAAGTTGACATTAATACAACACAAATTAAAAGTACATTATTTGGTTGCACTCAATTAAATACTTATACCATTGAATTCTTTTAGAAAGTTGGCTCTCGTATCGCGTATTGTTCGTGGGTTCATATAACCCGAGAAAACTTGTGTAAGGAAGGCGAATGAAGATAATGGATGTATTCTCAATGTCTAAATTATTTGTTTCGTTTTTCTATCCTTCTTTGACATGGTCGATAAGGTGATCTAATGAGAGGAGGGGGCAAGAGAGGTCTCGTGAGAATTACAAAGTGAGATCCACTAAAAAAAGAAGAGGAGAGTTTATCCTTTTACAATCTCTTCTCCATCCTTTTAAACGCAAACAAGAAAATATGATATTACTATGACATCCATCTACTATGCGGCAGACAACTCATAAATCGGGATGTGCCATGAGTCCATTCTTAATGTTAGTATTGGCATTTGTATTTGCAAATGAGGCGAGCTGGATTGGTTAGTTCGTCAGGTCGAACAAACAGACCAATGCTGCAAGGCAGTACACCAGGTTAGGTCCCTTGGAGCCATAAAGTCTATTGAGTATGTACTTCGGCCCCAAAAAACAGATTTCTACGTACACATACAATCGAAATGCAATAACTTAGCTTTAAGTGCAAGAAATAATTAACTACAATAAACATTTCTTCCTTCGATCATAATTATCGAGTCAAGGCCATATAGAATTATAAACTCGTTTAATTTAAAATATATTTATTTAATCTAGGAACAAAATAACTTAGAATACTAACATCCATTTTTTATGTATTAACAAATGTAATACTCATGTTTTATTTTTCATATTTATAACACTTAATCGTTCATATCCTGTCAAAAATATGACCGCCTTAATATATATATATATATATA